GGGACTCGCCTGGAACAAAAACTGGAAGCTGCCACTTTGCTAAGGGAGAGGGGAAAAAAAAAAAAAAAGTATGTGATGCCAGTTTTCTGGCACTGCAATGCACTGTAAAGGAGGTATTTTTCCCATTTTTCTCCAGTGAGGTTGACCAGCTGTCGCAAGGTTAAGTGAAGGATGGATCTGGGGTGTCAGGAGGAGCTGCTGCTCCCAAGGGAGACTCTGCGCTGGAGAGGCTCCTGTGTCAGGTACCAGCCCAGGAACCGGTGCTTGGTGAGGACTTCAGCCTCCTTTTTTGAGCTCCTGGAGTTAAAGGCAGCAGTGGAGAGCTGCTTCAGCTCAGCTGTTAAAGCAAAGCTGTGATGACAGAAAAACAGTAAGACATGGAAGCAATTTCAGCTGAAATCTTAGTGATTTAATTCTGAACAGACTTAGTCCTGATAACTCTAAGGAGGCAGCAGAACGCGTTATGAATGTACTTGTTCCTTAGTTTTTGATCAGGACAAACCCCAGCAATCAGGAAAATAAATTCAGTTGAAAGAATGTGATAAAGATACATCAAGGTGCCTAGATATTGTAATTAAAAAAAGTGTTTGTGCCAGCTATGGTCTGAGTTGGCAGGCTGACATCACATCCCTCCTTGGGGGGCTCCTCTCCTTTCTTTCTTTTTTTTTTAATTATTATTTGCTTTGTGGCCTTGTAGCTTACCTGGCAGAATTCAAGGGTGCTTCAGAAATGAAACTTCCTCCATCACCCAAGATGGTCACTGAAGAGGTAAGACCCCGGAGAGTCCTGACAGCGTCTGTGTTTACCCAGGGGTGACTTCAGCTACATGAGCAGCCCTTCCAGTGACGTGAACATGGACACAATCCTCATAAAAGCAGAGCTTAAGCAAATGCAAAGCATGGAAGAACCACAGCCACACAGCAGAACTGCGGCTGCGCAATCAGGGAGCCAAAACAGCCAAGGGGACATCCTCCATTCTGCTCAGTCAGCATTATGAAAAGTGTAGTGGTACGTTAGCTTGACCAGAGGCTGCCCCAAGCATAAGCGTGCTTATGCAACATTTCATAGAAAAACCACCACACCGAGCAGGGACAGACATTTCGTAAGTCACAATCCAAATGTCAAACCAGAGAGGATGGAGACAGCAGTGTCAGGAATAACTGTGCTCCTCACACATCACCCTGGAGAGAATTCAGGGCTTGGAGAAGACAATGGCAGAGGTCTCTCAGTGCCAGGTCCAGGCAGGTCCCAGGGAGAGGGGACAAGCCAGGAGCCAAGGGCGAGCCCAGCACTGGCAGTGTCCTCACCAGTGAGGTGAGGTCCTACAGGGTCTGAGCATGGGGGTGCTGGTAACAGGGTCCATCAGTGGTCCCAGCCACACCAAAGTGAGGAACCAGACGCGGGATCCATTTGGGAGGGTTAGGGGGTGTCTGTTCAGCAGCAGGAGATGGGGACAGGGCTACAACACCAAAGAGTCCATCCATCCAAGTGAGAAGATACCCACAGTGTAGGTCCAAGGTGTATCCAAGAGACAGGGTATTGTGGTTTAGCCCCAGCTGACTACTAAGCACCACGCAGCCGCTGGCTCACTGCCCGCTGGTGGGACGGGGGAGAAAGTCGGAAGAGTGA